CTCCCCTTCCCCCATCTTGCCTAGTTTAAAGCCCTCCTTACCAGGCTGGCCAACCTGTTGGCAAAGACGCGCGTGCCCCGCTTGGTAAGGTGGATCCCATCGCTCCCCATCAGCTGTTGATCTTCAAACAGGGTCCCATGGTCACAGAAACCAAAGCCCTGCTGCCAACACCAGCGGTGCAGCCAGTTGTTAACTTGGAAAACTCATCTACTCCTCCTCCTGTCTTTTCCCCTCACAGGCAAGATTGAGGAGAAAACGACCTGGGCTCCCAGACCCTTGACCACCATCCCCAGAGCTCTGAAGTCCCGTTTGATGGTTTCCAGTTTGCCTTTCGTGTCGTTAGCGCCCACATGGAAGATCAGCAGAGGGTAGTAGTTTGATGCATGGCCAAGCCTTGGCAGTCTTTCCATGACATCTCTTCTTTGAGCCCCTGGCAGGCAGCAAACCTCTCTGGACAAGAGGTCAGGTCAGCAGATAGGTGCCTCTGTCCCCTGCAGCAGGCAGTCACCCACAACAAACACTCGCCGCTTCTTCCGGGTGTTCCTGCATGGCACAGGGTCTTTTTAGTGTAACTTGGAAGCACTGGGGACAGGCCTTTGTCTCAGATACTGAGTAGGTGCAGATAATTGAGGAGGTGCAGATAACTGAGATTACTATACAGAGAAGTGAGTGTATTGCATTAATTGGCTTAGCCCATATAGATAAGTTATCACAGCTAAGTTTCATTTCCAAGTTTCTAGCCACAGATATGTGTTTAGGGCTCTGGGCTACTCCTCTCTGCTGCAAAATCCTCCACATAAAACTTCATTCACTTACTCCAAATCTAAAGATTGAGGAGGAGTATCAGTCGAGAGTATCTCCCATGTCTACCATAATCACATCTATTTAATACCTAGATGCTAAAGTTAGGGGTGCAAGCTCAGCCTATGCAACAACTGACACCTTGTGAGCCCACGGCATGGAGCAAGCAGGTTTTCTGTTTGCTGCTGACAGTGGCTGTGTCTCATTTGTACTTTCTGCATGCATTGGAGCAGGTACTTGGGCACTATCGTGTGGCAAGCGCTGCAGCAATCCATCCATACTGTCAAAGGCTGCATGACACTGAGCTTCTAGTTTCAGCTGGAAGAGGAGAAGTGGCAGCTGTTCGTAAAAGAGGGGTTTGTTTGTTTTTTGTTCTTTTCTTTCAATGACTGTGGTCGCAACTGACAATTGAGTCTGCTCAACACAAACTCTGTAGAAATGGTTGTCAGCTTATTAACTCCAGAAAGATCAGAATGTATAGCTGAATTTACTAGTCTAAGGGTCTGGTTTTAATTACAAACTAGCTGCATTATGAGTGAATAAAGATTGATATTCCAGAAAGAGTGGTCAGCAGAGCCAGACAGAGACAAATTTGATTGTCTCAATCCATAGCTGTTTAAAGTGGAATAATGCTAGGAATTGTTTTGGTTTGTCCCCAGCATGTACTGTGTTATCGTTAAACTAATTGAAGTTCAGTAAAGGAGGGTCTGGCAGCGTTAAGTGGAGCAGAGCAGAGCGCAGCACTATTCACTGGCGCCAGCGAGCGCGGTCCCCTTTGGGCTCACTCAGGGAAGTTCACAAACTCCCAAGTACTCACTAAAAGATGAAAAGCAATTTGATTGTTTTATCTGGAGTCTGGGGAGAGAACAGATGAGATCAAAATAGAAATAGCCCCTTGAAGTCATGCTTTTCCTTGAAGACTCCCCTCGCTTGTAACTGTAGTTACTCTCCTCCTAGATCTGTGAGGAGTTTCAGAAATGGCCTGTGAGGTCTGCCTGTGCGATGCTGAGCAGATCAAACCTGCTGACGACACTCTGGTGATCTGGGGGCTGCGGCGCAGGAAACGTGGCCATTTGGTGGCTCCAGGCAGAGCTATGGGCTGGGGCGGGCGGAGGAGGGCCACCAGCTTTCTCCTGCCGGGTGTGGGCCATGGTGGCGACGCCAAGGCCGGCTCCAAAAGCAGTGGCGTGTTTCATGGAAAAGGCAGGGGTTGGGCATTCACTCACCTCAGCACAGCAAAAGTAAGTAAAATTATAACCTGGGGTTTAATCTCTTGGCAGTTTAAATCTCCAGTTCAGTAAGTTAGGTTCAACAAGAAACAAATGTACAAAAAATACAGCAGTGAACAAAGAATAAACTGAGAGGACCTCTATATGATATTTGTAGCAGGCACTCAAATGTATTAAGCATACATTTCTATTTTCTTCCTGTGTTCAGTAGCAACTCTGTTTTGGAGACAACAGGTATAATGCGTCTTCCTATTGCCTCAACATATTAATGAGATTTTGTTGTTGTTTTAAAAAAATTTGGTTGCAAAAGACTAAAACACTAATGACTGTGATTTGCATGTTTCTTTTTTGAAGTCTATGCTTAATGCTATAGCTTGACAACAGAGCAAAAATTGTCAGTGCTATACATTAATAAATGTCTCACAATTCTGTATGCAAGAAAACTATAGGTTTACAGTATAGTATAGCAATAAGTTTATTTATGAGAATAAGCTGTTTAAGTACAATGAGCCAATGTTTTAGGGTAGGATGAAGAGGGAGGAGTTTTTCATGAGTCCTGCTATAGTTAGAAGCATCTTTGTTCATTCTGCTGTGTCAGGAGAAAAATGACTTGTTTTTTTCCTCTCTTAGATAAGTATTCAGAAAAATGGGTTTCAGAATCATATTGTATTAAGTAAATGAAAAATAGTTGCTTTATGTTACAAATTATTTATGGAAAGAATCCTGTAGAAACACCCTGAATGTGATACTTCTCTGATTTTCTATGCTATCTATATTTTAACAAGTATCACAATTATCTTGATATAAGAGTAAAATTTGTTTCTCCCTCTTTGCCACACAAACATGCACATATGAGTAGCTTTCCCTTTTCAATGGATAGGCTCTTTAAGCTAGCAAATAGTACAGAATAAGCCAATGCCTGGAAGCTGTGGCTAGTGAAATTCATTTTGAGTATTTTAGAGTTTTTAAACAAAAAAGATAAATACTGGTGCAGTTTCCTCAGAGAAGTGGTAGATTTTCCAATGAAGATACACTCACAATACAAAAAAAATGTAATTACAAGTGTTGGACTTTGTGTAGGAATTATAGAGGAATCAGAGAAATTCTCTGTTATTACCGTGTTATACCTGGTGCATAAGGTTATGCAAACAGAGCAGGTGACAAGTTATAGCGGCTACTTCCTTTGCATTTAAGTCTATTAATTTATTCTGAGTACCCAAAATGCCACAAAATCATTCTACTCTTTAGTTCTAATCTGCATTCTTCTTTTGCTTAGCTCTGAAGTTGTTACCTAGGCTTATGGGATTTTCCACAATGCAGTCAATATTGCAAGGCAGCCTGGGCTTTATAACATCACCAGCAGAGCAATAGTCTTCCTAGGCAATATTGCAAGGCAGCTGTTCTTCAGAAATCAGTGGATCTTCTCTTTGGTTTATTCAATTCTCTTATTTTATATACCAAAGGAATAGCAGCTAGCTTTTTTTCTTCAAAGCAGAGTAAATGCCATTCTCTGGTATTGACCAGTGGTCGTTCGAATGTCCCTGACTTGCTGCATTGGGAACACTCAGGCATGAGCAAGAATTCAAGAACGCGAATGGTAGCTACTTGGCCTCTGTAAACTTGGAAAATAAACATAGAGCAGAACAAAAAATGCTGGTTAAGCAACTGGTGAAGTTGATGTGTGATATGAAATACTGTGTTCATTAAACTTCTTAGTGACAAATGGTATATATGAGATGGTAAATGGTAAACTATCTTTTATTTTCTTTTTTCAGAAATGGACAGTTTTATCAGGTATACTATAACAAGAAGGAACGTGAGTCACTAATTAAAAAAAAACTATAAGAAAGGAATAAAGAATGCACTAATAGCTTAACATAGATAAACTGGCACAACATAACTGTAGCATTATTGTTCCTTAATTAAATAATGACACTGGCTAGTCTTGTGCAATTGCAGAGAATAACTGATCGCTCTTGAAAAACTTAAGAATTCTTAAATATTGCCATGTCAAAAGATCAAGTACATTCTGCAGCCGAGTCTTTTCCCTACCTTAAATACAGTCCCTCCAGTTGGTAGGAGATAGGTGTCTATGTCAATGTGTAGACTCCTCTAGAAACCTACCTGCATCGTCAAGCAAAATAAGGATCATATCTTGTTGGTTCAAGCTATACTCGCTGTCGGGGTAAAAGAACTTGCCTGGAAATTTGGTCTTTACTCACAATTATGCCAAGGATAATTGCTGTCTGAATGATGCCTTCAAGCTGCTGCCTCTGTTGAAGGCGGCAAAAGGTTGCACCTCTTAGTTTGTCAGCCTGTGTCTGTTCAGGGCAATTTGCTGTGTGACTGACAGCTGGGCAGAGCCCATCCAGGCCAGGTCTCTCTGCGCGATCACTCCTTTGTCTGCCGTCACTGCTGTGTCTGCAGAGGCATGTGCCAAGGCCCTCAGGGTCCTCCCCCGCGAGCTCCCGGGCAGTCTCTGCTGCTCTTAGCAAGACTCCTACAGGGCACTGAAACGCTATTAACAGCAAGAGTTGGCGGCTTCCTGAGTATCTGGAAAAAGTGTCTTTGAGACCTCCAGACATGCACCTAGGAGTCTTACAGCACTTTTTGCAAAGGGAAAAATCTGAATTTTCTTGGGGAGCGAGGGGAGAGCATTTTTCTAGCAGAAAATTTTAAAGGCACATGTAAGGGCAAGGGCAAAAAACCTAAAACACAGAACTTCTGACCAGTTCTAATGGATAAACTGAAAAAACTCTATTTTTTTTTTGCTAGAACTACTTCCACATTTAAACAGAACTACTCCAATAGATCAGGTCTTTCTTATGTATGATTTCTTTTTATGCCATTATGGTCCTTCCATATATTCTTTATAGAATATAAATTGCCAAAGATGGTTACTATATTGTCAGTGCATGGGATTTTGTGTGTGTGGAATGGTAAGATTCTGAAAATTCCATACAAAATCTGAATTCATAAATCCATGAAAAAGGAGTTTCAGGAATTATGAAGCCCCCAAGATGTCAAAGAAAGGAGAAAGCAATAGAGAATCTATAAATAATATGAAACAGAATTGAAAATATTTGAATGAAAGGCCATTAAAAATCAACAGTATTTCTTCACAAGAATCCAAACTAAAGTTTGCAGAAAGGTGAAAAGTCCATATTGATTTTTTTTTAAACCTTATCTAGAAAATGATTGTTCTGCTTGCAAGCATCATTCATCATTTGCCATATAGAGTAGGCTGAGGTACTTGTTGGCAGGACTGAAAGATGAGTTCAGCAG